AATAAGAAAATTAAATTTTAGAGAACAAAAATAAAAGGCAAGCATTTTAGAAGGTTTAATACATCGAACAACATTTTTGAATTTCCTAATGATAGAAAATATTTTATGACGTAATGAAAACTATTGATTAAACAGAATGATAATAAATTTTAAAAAACGCATAGTATATGTATAGTCCGTCTAGAAAGTATCCGGAAAAAAGAAAGCAGAATTATAATTTTACAGTATTTATTTCTATCACTTGAAATATAAAATTTCAATAAATAATTCGTCTCATTTACTTATACAACCTGCATTTAAATCTAAACACTTAACTAAACGTCCAGGTACACCCGAAACTAGGTCAAGGCCATAATTTTCGGTAAGGGTGTTCCAGGTCTGTAAAACTGACCGAATTAAACCTTTATCTCGTGGGGCTGCTCGTTTCACTTAGCTCTTCATCAGTCCCCACATGTTTTCAATGGGGCTAAGATCTGGAGATGCTGCTGGTCACGGAATTGTTGCCAATTCGTGTTCTTGCATCCAAGCTTGAGTATAAGAAGACCATTTAGGATGTCACAATATTTCGCACTACCAACAGTACCATTCACTATACAGAGAAGTGTAACACCACGCTGAGATATTGCTCCCCAAATCATTATTTTAGAGGGAAATTTGGAAGTTTTAACGGTAACATTTTCTCTTGAAGGACTTTTAGATGATTTGCACCAAGCTGGAAACAACTTTCATTAGATATAAAGACATTATTAAAATTATCCTCTCGAAAACGTTGACAAACATCTATTCTTCGTTGCCTTTGCAAAGGTGTCATTGTAGGGATTTTTTTTTTGGATTCATCGATATGTAGCCTTGCTTTTTCAGTGACATGCGGACAGTTTCTGGGCACACTTTAGGTGCGGATTTTGTCGTCCTAAAGCTACTAAAGCAGTTAAATTGTTTCCGCGAATCTTACGCGGTCTACCCGAAACTGGTCTATGTCTCATATCTATGCCATTTTTTATCCTGTTTATTGTCTCATACATTGCACTTTTTCCGAGTTCAGTCAATTGTCATAATTTTTTAACGTTTCGGACACCCCATCTATACAAATATTCCACCACTTTTCTTTTTTCTACTTGCGACATTATTTCACAAATCTTAAGTCTGTTTACAAACAACAATAGTTGGTTGACAGATGGTGTTGTCATGCGATTTTGTTCATAACCTACTATCGGCACAAGCTACTTGATTCATTACTTTTGTCTTAAAATGTTACAAAAAGGAAATCTATTAAAATTAGGAAAAATATAAAATTCCGGATACTTTCTAGACAGACTATAATATTAACACAATTTATTTATTTTATTTATTTATTTATTTATATACGGCATCCATTTACTTACAATTTTTACAAAGTTACATCTTAAAAACAATATATTATTAAAATAACAATCACAAGTTTTAAAAAGTTACACCTTAACAACAATAAATTATTAAAATAACAAACACCTCAGAATAATACAAACATATAAGAATAATACAGATGTACAACCAACTTATTGTAAGATATTTTTTAGTTGTTTTTTAAACAAACTAATTTTGGAGTCAAAAATATCTATTTGTCTTGGCAAGCTATTAGCACTCCGGACCAATCGTGTAGTTGGTTCATTGATACCATAATTAGTTTGGTGAAATGGCACCTAAAATATTTCTGATTGTCTGTTGCTTCTACTAGGAACTTTAAGACTAACAAGCGATAAGAGTTGAGGACAATCTATAAAAGCATTGATAACTTTGTGTAAGAAACATAAATCCAACAATGTCCTCCTTGACTCCAGTGTTGGTAAGTTAAGACTATCTCTTACCCACTGATAGTCGTATTCCTCTCTCCTGTATCCACTCTTATAGGCTGCTACCCTCAAAAATTTATTCTGGACTCTTTCAATCTGTTGAATGTAACAGTGGTATGATGGGGACCATACAACTGATCCAAACTCAAGAATGGGCCTAACGAGACCACAATAAAGTCTTTTAAATGTAAATAAAGACAGATCCACAGATGTGCGTTGGATAAACCCCAGCACTTTCATCGCTCTGTTTGTTACTTGGTTAATGTGGCTTGAGAATGACAGTTTGGTGTCTAACCAAATTCCCAAATCTAATACTTCATTTTTCGAGGCTAATGGCAAGTTATTTATGTAGTAAACAAATGTAATTGGATTTCTTTGCCTCGAGAATGTCATTTTATGACATTTGTTTATATTGAGTGACATTTTGTTTAAAATGCACCAGTCATAAAACGATTTAAGATCTTCCTGTAATATAACAGCATCATTCCAGGATTGAATTTTTCTAAACAGTTTTACATCGTCAGCAAACATAAGAACACTACAATTTTTGATTTGTTGTACTAAATCAACCAGAAACAAGCAAAACAAAACAGGGCCACAATGGGAGCCTTGTGGCACGCCTGATGGAACTGTTATTTCAATTGAAGTGTCACTTCCCAAGATAACTGTCTGCGTACGGCCACTAACAAATTCTGTAATCCACTGAAGAAGGGGATCTAAAATACCCAAAGCTCTTAGTTTTTGTAAGAGGACCCCATGGTTTACCCGATCAAATGCTTTGGAAAAGTCAGTATAGATTGAGTCAACCTGGCACCCTCTTCAAAGCTGTTATATATATATGATTGACATACAAAACCAGGTTGGTATCTGTTGACCTCCCTCTCATAAAGCCAAATTGTTCAGGATTAAAAATGCCTCTATAACTCCATGTCAGTTTCTTACTAACCAAACAATCAAGCAACTTGGGCAGCTCCGACTGATTACAGACAGCTCGATAGTTTGATATATCGTTCCTTGCACCCGATTTAAAAATCGGCTTTAAAAAACTTTTCTTCCAGAGACTGGGAAAGCTACCAGTACCAAGTGATCTGTTAAAAATAAACAAAATTGGTTTTGTAAGTACACATATACATTTTTTCAGAAAATAGGCTGGGATTCCATCCGGCCCTGCACATAATCTGTTTTTACAACTTGCAATAGTATCATAGACCTCAGTTGCTGTAAGTATTATAGAACTCAAACAAATAGAACTGTCCAAATTAAAAAAAGGTAAAGTACCTTTTTGTTCATCTGAGTAGACTGATGAGAAATATTCTGCGAACATATTGGCAGAGTCCTTCATATTTAAGCCAACCCTATCCTTATAGACCATTCTGGATGGTATATTATACTCATTTCTTTTGCTTTTAATATAAGACCAAAAATATTTTGGATTATCGGAAATGTTATTTTGTATCCCATCTAAATTCTTCGACTTATAGTTTTTACCAAGTTCTGACAAAATTCTAATGTAAACGAATCCCATATTTCTTGCAATTTTTCCTTCAATTCGTTGACCGACCTGGCAGGATTTTTCTCAAAGCTTTTTTCATTTCGCTCCACAAAGTCTTTATCGGTGACAAGTCGGGACTGTTAGAAACCCATTCCAGAAGTGGTATACTATGGTCTTCAATCCATTTTAAACTATTTTTTGAGGTATGACAACCTGCGCCGTCCTATTGGAAGACAAAATCTTCCGCTGATGTTAAACGGTGTTCCATAATCAATAAAAGAGATTCTTTTAATATATTCAAATATTTATCCCTGTTTACAATCTCATGGATAAAATGTCCACTTTCCACACCTATAGACGACTTTTAAAAATTTGACTTTTCTCTTCAGACAGTCAGGATGGAAAGCTTCACTTTTCCTGCGAATGACGCGACTTCTACTGTCTCCAACACACACTTCAAATCTGGACTCATCACTCCATTGTATTGAATCCCATTGCGACTGAGTCCAATCTTTATACTCTTTTGACCATCTTAGTCTATTTTTCTTTTGTTGTAATGTTAAAAGTAGCTTTTCTTTACACTAAAATAAAATGAAATTTATTAAAAAAAATTCGTACAATTTTTTTTAACCATAAAACTTACTTTGTAAGTACCAAATCCTAATTTGTAAGCCTCTCGGTGACATGTTGATCTAGAGTGTCTTTCAATAACGTCACTCCATAAAACGCTTAACTCGATATAATTTGCTCGTCGATTTTTGACTATAATGCGTCTTAATGCCCTTTGACCTGCTTCGGTTATTTTACTTTTTCGTACATTTCTAGGTTTTGTGATGACCGAACCGGTAGTTTTGTATCTTCTGACTATATTTCTTACACTATAGCGTGACAATTGCAACATATTCACGATTTCCGAATTGGATTTTCCAGAATTAAAAAATCTAATAATGATTGAACAAATTTTCTAATCGATAACTTTACCTCGATCCATTTTACAATCCACAAACGGCAAAAACCTTTACGGTACTACAAAATACGTTTAACATTAACTGGCATACTGACATAATGACATTAACATACTAGCAGTATTATTGTTTTGACGTCATGTTTTTATAGCTACCTCTGAATTTAAAGTAATTATGAAAAAAAGTTGACATAAGTGAATGCATAGCCAGGGTTTAGTGAATTTTTTTTTTTGTTGAAAAAAAAAAGTTAAATGTTTTTAATAAATATTAATAAAAATGCCATATTAATTAATATGGGAACTTATAAAACATGCAGAGTATAATTTGTTTGTGGTAATTGACTTAAACTGCAAATTCTATAGTTGGGCCAACTGATATGGGAAGGGGCTCGTATATATTAAACTGTACATGCGTATAATTAGGTACGCCTAAGGTCACAATTAGAGTGATTTTACTTCCACTCAATACCATACAAAGTTTAAATAGTGGAAAGAGGTTGTTGATTAAATTGTATATTTTTAGTGACTGTGAGACCTACAACCTCCCCTTTCAAGAAACCCTTGGCAGGAGGAAGTCCACCGGCGAACCCTGTGATCTCAGCCTCTAGAATAAACTCGTCCAATCCACCTCCGCATACGGCCGAAGAAGTACAACGATTAAAACCGTCTCATTCGACAGAGGAACTCAATCAAGAGATGGCCAATTTAGAAGGACTGATGTTGACTTTGAACGCCATAACAGCAAACGAATTCGAATGTTGATTGGTGTTCAAGAGATCGAAATTTTTTTAGTCCTGTGATTGAATTTTGTAAATTCACGGTTTTCTCCATCACTGGATTTTTAAAAACGGGTGATATAAAACGCAAGGTGTGTATTAATACATGAGATATATTATACAGTTATTCTGTCTTATTTTTTGCAAGGATAATTCGATGTATAAACAATTCTTAATTACCTACTTTCTTTAATACATATATTTCATTACGTAAGATAAAAAAGAACTTTCTTATAACTATTTTAGGAAAAATACACGCATTTCAAAGACACATACCAAAAATAACTGTATATGACCAGTGAACTGTCCCAGTGTTGACATATGGATCGAGAAATAAAAAAATGGCCGTCATTGGACGCTGGGTGGATGTAAAACATCGAAATTAATGATTAATATTAGAAAAAATGTTACTGTGTATACAAATGACGAACGCCTTAAGTATATTGTAGTCGAATAGAAAAGCACACACAGTACTTACACCGAGAAGCATCATATGACATCATTCTATTTGTCGTCACGGATACGAGTCGATCTTACACCCGCAAGAAGCATCAATAGATGTTTCTCATCAAAAGTCAAATGGTTTGATAAACTAGAGAATAAAAATGGACAATACAATGCCATTAAAATGTTGCTTTAAACGGCACCTCGGGAGACGTAAGGTACAAAATATGAAGAGCAAGAGTTTAGATGATTCTTTATCATTTTAAATCTCACATTCTGGTGAATAATATATATGGCTATTGCCACAGCATATGGTTTGAACTTTTTTTTATAATATATATATATATATATATATATATATATATATATATATATATATATATATATATATATATATATATATATAATTATATAATGAAGGTCTAATTTCTCTTGTATCAAGACCACTTGGAGCTGTGATTATTCCTTTCATTCATAATTTTTCTCCACAATTAATGTACATACGTTTACAATGTATGTAATTAAGCTCATTAAACGAACAAAACCGTCTCTTATATGATTCAGTTTGTTATAAAATGATTTGTAAATTATAGAAAACCGTGAATTTCATATTCTAATATGGTTTTGGTAGCTATGTATACTACGGGAAACATTTAAATGATTTTTTAATATGTACTAATATATTTTTTATTATACAACTGTATTTAACGAATTTCGGCAGTTATTTCGAGATTATTCTATTTATTTATTTGAGATTATTTGTGATAATCACACTTTTAATGTACATCACAGTATTTCATGCAAGAAAATGTAATTGTTACATTGAAAATTTTACTTGAATTTTAACAAAGACATTGTGTTTTAAAATCGTTGTACAAATATTAATTAATTTTAAAAATATTCAAAAATTAACACTTTAAATCAACTTCACTTATTTTTAATATTGCTTTTTTCCTGCCTATTCCGTTGCTTGAATCGACGAATAGACAAGGACTCCAAAGGGACTGAAAATCCTAACGTAACTCGACGCTGTGCAACCATTTCACACATCTTTAAAATATTCCACATCTCTTTCTGTTCAGACCTTTAGATAATAGTGATTCTTACGTATAAATCATGACAGTACCTACAGATAACAGGTATAGGTGAAAGGATGTACAATATTACGCCTTGAAATAAGTAAGAAAAAACTGTAAAGCCCTCCAATTGTTATCAAGGTATAGGTGAAAGGATGTACAATATTACGCCTTGAAATAAGTAAGAAAAAACTGTAAAGCCCTCCAATTATTGTCAAGGTATAGGTGAAACGATGTACAATATTACGCCTTGAAATAAGTAAGAAAAATCTGTAAAGCCCTCCAATTATTGTCAAAATAAGATTTTAATATTGTTGTGTGATCACTGTTTATCCTATTATGTTTGGTCTCGTCTTCCGTCATACTTCCTTTCTTTCATTTTTGTTATTTCCTTTATAATCAGCGCAGATGCTATTACAATATTTCTTCTAAATGTTCTCTGGTATTTCCACTAATTTTTTTTGTCATGTTTTTACTTTATTTTGCTACTTTATTGATCATAGTTTAATGTTTTCCTTTATCATTAATTATTTGATCATTACTTTTATTACTATTGTGGTACCGTAACTCTCAAGGAATTGTAACCATAAGTTAACTGCGTCGTTCTCTTAGATTTTGGACTCGGATCTTCGAATTGCAAAAAATTTATCTTAGTTTTATCATAAACTCTCTTATCTCTAAAGTTTGGCCTTCTAATTTCCACAAATTACAAATCTTATCAAATTTGATTTTTATTTCGCAGTATTGTGTCTTTCTACTTTACTTTCTTTAATAATCTACTTAATAAAAAAAAAAATGATAATTTTAAATTTTAATCCAGTTTTTCATTCCATTCAAAATTATATACCCTATTTAGTTGACTATGAAATCATTTTGAAATGATATGAAAACAGTTTTACAGTGCTATCTAATGCAATATATCGTCATCATCATTCTCAGCTTATTCTACCAATTATGGTGCAGCCTCCATTATATAGTCGTTTTTCATTTCTGCCCACGATTGTCTAATACTTGCTACTCGGTGTCATGTACCTGCCTGTTTCCTTATGTCATAGTCCCATATTAAGTTTGGACGTCGTATTGGCCTCTTGACGTCTCTTGGATACCACAGTGTACTTTTAGTGAACACTTTATTGTCAGTTTTTTTCGCTAAATGTCCCGCCCACTGCCGTTTTAAAAATTTAATTCTCTGAATTACATCAGTGACCTCGGTTTTCTGTCTGATCCATTCTATTCTTCTGCGATCTCTTTTTGTTAAGCCTAGCATGCATCGCTCCATTGAACTTTGAGTGACTAAGTTTCGCTATGATCTTTTTCTTTAGTGTAAAAGTTTTGCAGCTATGTGTCATAATTGGTAGTATACATTGATCGAATACTTTTTTCTTCAGGTGGAGTGGCATCCTGGATTTGAATATAACTGTATCTTTTCCAAAAGATGCTTAATCCAGTTTCATTCTTCTGTTGATTTCTGGGAGTAAGGAGTCAGGTTTATAATGTATTAATTATCCCAGGTATACATACTCGTCTACTGTCTCAAGTGCAGTGTTGTTTATTATTACATCTTGGACATCCACTAGCTCGTACATGGTTTTTGTAAGCTAACTTTTAGTCCAACTTCATTGCTAGCTGCATTTAGATCGGTGGTAAGTTCTTGTAGTTCTGCAGGATTATTCGCGATCAGAATTATGTCGTCTGCCAATCATAGATAGGCCTTTATTCTGTCAGTTCACTTTGCTAAATATGTTTTCTAGCTTTGCGGTGAAAAGCTTTGGGGATATTTTGTCTCCTTGTCGGACGCCTCTGGTAGAGGTAAGTTCTGGAGTATTTTCGTACATTTTTACATTAGCTGTTGGCTGTTGCTTTTCTTTATATATTTGCGGTCTCTATGTACGATTTGTCAATGCCTTGATTGGTCAAAATTTCTATTATTGCCTTAGGATCTATAGAATCGAGATCTATGAAGGTTCAAGCTAGCGATATTACATATTATTGCTTGCTCTTTTGGCTGTGCATCATCTAATACATTTGTTAATCTGTAATTGATGATATTTGTGAATATCTTTTATATGATTGGTAGTAAACTTCTGGGTCTGTAGCTTTTAATATTCTCTTTGCTATTGTCCTTATGAATGAGAATTATGTTTGCTGTATTCCAGTGGTCTGATACGCATCTTGATCTTAGACAGTTCGTAAATATACCTGATAAGATTTTCAGATTTTTTTGCCAGCGTATTTAAGCAGTTCCTCTGTTATGCCATCTATTCCAGCTGCTTTACTGCTCCTTATTTTCGTAATTATCAATTCTACTTCTTCCGGAAGTACTCCTGGTACATCTTCTTGGCTAATAGTTTATTCTTTAAGTGTTTCAGGGGCTTTGTATAGTTCGCTGTAGAATTTAATGACTAGTTTTATTATTTCATTTCTTCATTATTTCATTTTTTGGTTTCGAAAATTAGTTTACGGATTTTATTTCATTTCTGTTTGTAATTCTGGTTTGTTAGAGCCACGACTTGCTTCTTGTCAATGATTAACGCTTTTCTTGTTTTCTTATAGTTTTTCCTGTCTTCCTTCATATTTTTCCTTGTGACCTTACAAAGTTCTGTGTATTGGATTCTTTGTATGTTGCTACTTACTTTCATTTCCCTTCTTTGTTAAAGTCACCAATTAAATATTTGAAGTGACTTTTATTGTTATTTAATGCTTCAGTTATGTTACTGTAGATTTCTCTATTAAATAGAGGAACTCTACAGTCTACAGAATAGACTCAATTTCTTCGACAGTGTGGGTAATCGTTGGTGCGTATATTTGTACGATTTGCATATTATATCTCTTTGATAGTTGCAAGGTTAAGCTAGCTCTGTTAATTGTCTTGGCTGATGCCAGGTAGTAGAATGTGTTTCCTGGCACTAATTCCAATAGCTCTTCATCTTTCCGTCTTACTTGCTGTTTCCTATGACATCACATTTTATATTTTCAGTTTCTTTTTCCAGTTCTACAAGTCTGGATTTGTTTGATAGCAAGTAACAGTTAGATGTCGATATATAAAGCGTTGTTGTTTTGTTTGGGTAGCGGTTTAGACTCTGCAGATTCATAGCACATTCTGCTCTCCTGGCTTGATCCCGAAAGCTACCCAGTTCAGTGCCATTTGGGCGTACGGAGAATGAGGGCCAAGCCTTTCAGACTCCTCCTTCTGATATATACAAACTGCCATCAGTGGATTTGCCGTTCTTCTTCTTAGTGTGCCTGTCCGTTCCGAACGTTAGCGATCATTCTGGCTATGATGACTTTGTTTTTTGGTATACGAAATAGCTG